AGTTTTTTAGGATATTTTGCAACCCTTTTTCTTAGCTCAAGAGAAGGAGAGATTGTTCTGATCTTGCTGTATTGTTTTTGCTAAGTTTTTATGTAATATTTTCAGGCTAGTTATGGGTGTATTGAGGAAATACTCCGTCTGGAAGCATTTAGTTCAATAATAAATAATATCTTGAACAAAAAAAAAGCAAATCTAATATTATAAATTGGAATCGAAATTAAATACATCAAATTTCTAATATGAGAGTTTAATTCAATATAGTAAATAAATAAAACTCAATTGAATTTGTAAATAATCCAGTAAGGTCGACAATAAGCTTAAACGACTTCCTTGAATCTTTACACCAATTTTCAGCACTTGAAGTCTTGAAGAGAGAAAACTATGTAGGAATTAATAAAACAAAAGATGGTATATGGAAAATCCCCCCAAAATCATAGCTAGTCTCTCTCTTTTTATAGACTTTTTGAAAATATCTTCCTGATCCTTTTAGGAAAGTAGATCTCCTATTCAGTAAGAAATTTTCTTGAGGCAGAAACTGTTTAAGTTTTGTATTACTTCCCAATCAGGACTCTCTCAGCATCTAAATAGGATTTACTTGATTGGCATGTCAGAAAAGCGTCTCATGCGGGTCCATGCAAATGGCACGGGATGTTCTCGGCCCAAGGTAAAGTTTGGTCTTCAACACGGGGCGTGCTATCTGGCACGGTCTGAGCATGCTAGGCTCTGTGTCAATAAGGTGAATGCAGCACGAGCAATGCTTGGATGAGCACGCTGAAGGATCGACAATTATTTATGGTACGGGTGTGCTCTTTGACACGGCTTGGGCATGCTAGGGTCTAGGGACTTCAAGGCAATTGCAGCACAAGCCGTGTTGGAGTGAGCATGCTTAAGGATCAACAACCTCTTGTAGCACGGGCGTTCTAGCTTCTGAGTCTCTGTTCAATTTAACACAGCACGGGGGTGCTAGATGACATGCCCAAGGCGTGCTAGAGTCTGAACCTAGTAATACTATTTTCTGTATTTTTGGTTGATTCCTATAAAAATATTGTAAAATTTCCCGAGATCAAGTAAAACGTGATTGAAGGAAGCATTAAACAAAAATATAAATAAAACTAAATAAAAACTAATTAAAAAAATAAAAAATACTAAAAAATTCTAATAAAACTATATTAAAAATACTATAAAAATAACACATATTAGAAGATTATTGGTCTAGAATAGATTCTTAAAAATGTTAAACTTTTCTTGGTATCTTGAATTCTAATAAATTTTTGTTGCTGATAAAAAAAAAACACTACTCTTATACTACTACAATTATTAATAAAAACATACATGTAAACTTATATACTTTGAAATTTTTTTTTTTAATCAATCCAATAACTACTATCTATGAGCTCAAGCCTATGTCAAACTCTACAGATATAAATTATCTATATCACTTAAGATACAATCTAAAAGAATTGACTTGGCTTAGGAAGGTGGAACGCTACAAGAAATTCGGCAATTACTGACGGATTTTATCGACAAAACTTATTTAATTGGTAATTAACGATGAATTACTGACGAGTTTAAATTTTGTTGGCAATTAAGATCATTGAATATTTGTGCTAATTTTTTATTTTTACCAATGGATTAGCGACAGAGTAATGATGGAATTACCAACGAATTTTAGATTCTGTAGGTAAAAATATCACCATATATTTACGTCTAGCTTTAATAATTTATTGACAGATCACCAACCAGTTACGCGCAGATTAGCGACAAAACATATTCCGTCACTAATTCGTAGCTATTTACCTACAGATTACCAACTATTATTGATGAAATTGAAAAAATAAAAATTTAAGCAGTATAAATGGACGATAAATTACCAAATTTACCGATCAATTTTAGAAATTAGCAACGAAAATTTCATCCATAAATTTTAAATTTTTTGCGCCATAAATAGGCGGCAAAATAAATAAGTTAGTTATAGAAATTTTCAATTTAGCGACGAAATTTCCGTTGGTAATTACCAAGTCTACAATAAAAATTCATATCTTTTTCTCCCTTCTTCATTTTTTCCTATCATCTTTTTTCCACATTTTCTTTTTTTCATTTTTTTCCTTCTTTTTCCTTCTTGTTCTTTCTTTCTTTCTTCTTCTTCTTCTTCTATTCTTCATGTTCACTTTTCTTTTCTTTTTTTTCTTTTTTTTTCTTTTCCTTCTTATTCTTCTTCTACTCCTTTTGTTTTTTTCTTCTTCTCCTTCATATTCTTATTTTTTCTTCTCTTCTTCTTTTCCTCCATTCTCATACTTTATTCCTCTTCTTCCTTTTCGATCTAGTTCTCTTTTTCCCTCATTCTTCTCTTTCTTCTCACTCATTCCAAAATATTTTAAAATCTAAAGTTTTATTCCACTACATTCCGCTCTAAATATTCTTTGGAATTCAAAATTCATCTCATACTATTTTATGAAAATTTAGTTTGGAATTCGGTAATTCTAAATTTCACAATCATAAATCTAGTCTATTATATTATGCTTAAGATATAAGTTTTTAATTAATAAGACATAATCAATATAATTATTTAAAATTAAATATAAATAAAAATAAAATAAAATTTCAATAAAATAATAAAATAATATTTCATGTAATTAAAAATTCAAACTCATTAATGAAGAAGGAGATATACCTTCACTTAACAGCTTTCTATTTAATTAGTAATAAAGTAACAACAAAAATAGAAAATAGAAAGTTGATGTGACCGTGAAATAAATACCATAAAATCCAAAAATAAAAAATAGGTCAAGGGAGCAATTTAAATAATAAAAAACTTTAAAAGTTTCAAAATTGATGGTTACAAAAGAAGTTTCTTGTTAAGTACAATAAAATAAAAGGATAATATTTTTTTCTAATCACTTGACAAGAAACAAAAATCGATAAAAAATATTCCAATTATGATTCCGTGAAGCTAACTTCTTTTTTTATTTTGACTCTTGGATTTTGAAATCAATATTAATTATTATTATGGTCAAATTATTTTATTAAATTATATAGTTTTAGAATAAAATAGGTGAACTAAAATAAAAATAAAAGTTTAGTATATTAATTGGAATATAGAATTTTCTATTATGTTTTTATTCTATATTGTATATACCAATATTTTAAAAAATGCTTTCTGTTTTAGATTTCATATTCCAAAATTCCATTGTAAATTAAAATTGAATTTAAAATTTTTAATTTAGATTGATTTATTCCAAACCAATTAACACCCTTAATCATGATTTTGGTACTTCCAATTCAGCTTTTAATGGTAAATTGTTCAACTTATCATTCTTTTTTATTTTTATAACCACTGTATAGATAAATTCGCTCATAAACTTGTAGCACCCTCAATTTTTACCTTGACCCATCAAACACTTCAACTTATAAAACTATATCGATTAAACACTTCGATTTTAAAAATTATTTTATTGAATACTTTAACTTACAAAATTAGATCATTAAAATTTATAAAAGTTATTATTACAAAAATCATACTAACTACATATCAAGTTAATATTTTACAGATAAAAATAAAAAATCCTAAAAATTATTGATATTAGTGTCAAAAGGTGTGTCATATTATCAAAATTTACAAATTCAAATGTATGATAAGTCATTCAAAAAGTTCAGGGTGCCACAAGATTAAAATTGTAAAGTTCATGGGTGAATTTATGTATTTTAGCCTTTTTATAACTGCCAAAAATCATAATTTCAAATATTATAAATGTTGAATTCATAATAATTTAAAATTATAGTTTAAATTATTACCAAAAATTATAGAATATATGCTTAAAAGTTTATAAATTACTAAATAATATATAGGTGTGACTAGCTTTATAAAAGTGAAGAATAGGCATTAGCTATTATTCTGCAAACCAAACAAGACTTTAAGGTTATAAAATTAAACCAAAGTTAGGAATTTGAATACTCAAATTCAATCTGAATTCTGAAAAGAAGGGACAGATAGGTGGAATCTTGAATTTTATATGATCATTAGGCCCCAACAAGTTAAGAATGTTTGATAAATACATTCTTAATATCAGAAAGATGAGGTGTTTTAGATCCAAAAAGTAGACAGAAGCTTTGAAGCTATCAATGGTAAGTTCGTGTATGTTTTGTAGGTTAAGCCACGATTTTTCTTTTTAAATATAAATCGTAAATGAGTGGAGTCCGAATCGAAAAGTTCAAATTTTCAAGTTCAAATAAATTTTTAAAGAGTTAAACTCGAGCTTAATTTACTGTTTAAACTGTAAACAAATGTTTAATTATAATTGACATATTTACGTTAATCCGGTTATGCATTAAAACATAACATGTAGTGTGCCTAAAAAAATTAATTTTTTATATAATTTATTTTTTGAATTTACACCAAAAGAATAAAAAAGTTAATTTTATCTAAAAAAATATATGTTTGATTCAAATAAAATATAATTAAAAATAATTAGATATTTAATTTGAATAAAGTATAATTTAATGAAAAATAATTCAAAATTCAACATAATCAAATATTTCTCTCATTCTATAGTTTTTTAATTAATTAGTTTGTTTAATTATTTTTAAATCAAAGACAAGACACTTTAATTTTTTATAATTATTGTTATATTTTTAAATTATTTTTTATTTTCAAATTTTAAGCTTTTTAAATAATCTGGGGATAGAAGTATTATGCTCAATATGAAACGAAAGACAGGTTGCCCTTGCCCATATAATAAAATGTGAATCGGAAATTTAATAGGCTATATGATAAAGGAGGAGCACGTAAAAAAAAAAAAATGATCTTTATTATTTCATCATCGAATGAATATAAACAAACCAAAGTTACAATCTATGTATTGTGCTATTGGTACATCATGTATAAAAACATTCAATGTCAGTATCTATAAATTATTCATATATATATATATATATATTACAATTTCATGTATTAAAAACATTCCAATGTCATATCTATAAATTATTCATATATAATATATATATATATATGTATTATTCATATATATATATATATATATATGTTACATACAGTAATTTTTGTTTTTGTTCAAGGACAATTTGGAGAAACTACTCCCATTTCAGTTAATTTAACATTACTGCATGAAGCTTTTGCTGCTTCGTCTCCTCCTTCCGTTTTAAGAATAACATCTTCCAACAAAATCCCTTGACATGGATAGTTCTTGCTGCAATCAAACTTTATAGCCACATTAGAAGCACTTGTCCCCTTTATGTTCTTGTACACCACATTTTTCACCTGAATTGCTGATTTCTGCAATAACCAATAATATTTATTTTAGTAATAACTAAAGTGTAATCACACATTTTTGTGAATTTTGATAGCAAATAATATGAGTTAGTTCGACAAAATTAGTTTTTTTAGTAACTATTAGTTATTATAATAGCTGTTAGCTAGTTATTGTAGTAGCTGGTAGCTGTTTTATAGCTTTTATCCGATAGTTGTTGATCAAGGCCATGTATCAGCCTCCATATAGATATATATATATATATATCCATACCTGTTCTTTGCATGGTTTCTCTTGGTCACAATAGTGTTGATCAATTATAATGGGACTGGTGACACGGTCCATTTCAATGTTTTGGAACTTGATGTTGTTGGCAATTCCTGAACCTCCCTGCATATATAATAACACAATATAGTCTTAAATTTTGATATACTATTTAAATTAATTATAATTCTTATTCATTCATTGTATATAGTTCAGTGATAAGTATATGTACGACCACATGGCGATAAATCAAGTTCGAATTCATTTATTTAGTTTTTAAAATTTAATTTAAGACTAGGAGTGGAACGACATATTGGTTATCACCGCCCTAGAATTTAATAATAATAATAATTACCTGATATGTTTTTATCCTAACACCATTTGCAGTGCCAGAAATCTTGGCACCATCAATAGTTACTCCTGAAACATAAGCTTTTGAATTTCCAGAGCCTAAGCTTCCAATACTATATATATGCACCATAGTGAGAAACAAGAAACATTAGTTAATTAGTAGTTAATTAATTAATTATATCAAATAAAAATTGATTATTTTAAGAGAGGGCAAATAAGACAAAGACCTTATTCCATGGCCTGGCCCACAGGTTATGTCCATGGCTTGCACATTTTTCGATCCACTTACAATAGAGATACAATCATCACCTTTAATATAACAACACAGTATTAAAGAAACTAATTATTAGTACTAATAATGATTAATCCAAAAAAGTAAATTAATTTAATTGATGTAATTTAAGGGGTTAAACGTAAAAATATACTACCTGTCGCTATGACTGAATTTGTAATTTGGATGTTTTGGGTTTCAGTGACATGGATTCCATCAGTGTTAGGACTATCCTCAGGTGAAGTTACCAAAAGATTGGAGGCTTTAATATCTCTGCTGCTTTGAAAAGACACGTGCATTTGTTGTGCATTTTGGACTGTCAGGTTCTTTACTACCAAGTTCTTGCATTTATAGAAGGTTAAAGCCTGCCATGATTAGGAAATGTATTAATGTTAATTAAAAATTAAAAATTATATATATTCTTGAAATTCAGGATATAGAACTTAAAATTTTAATATATATAGGGTTAGAGTCTATTCGATAATATTAGGTGTTTTAATAGTCATTAACTGTTATAGTAACTGTTAGCTGTAATAAAAGCTAAATGCTCAACGCTCAAAATTAACTGTTAAAAAGTTAACCAGTATAATATTTAACATTTCATGAAAAGTTTTCTCACCCTTTAAAAACTATTATAAAAGCTATATCGTTAAACATTACAATTAATAAAAATATAATTTTGACTTGACTAAAATGTAAAAAGCTAATTCAAAAGTGGTTATCAAATAAGACTTAAACCATAAAATAAATAGATAAATAAATAACACAGCATACCGTAGGTGCATCCTTGCAAGGCTGAGGAGGAGATCACGAAGAGAACAAGAAGAGTCAGTTTTTTCATTGCAAGAAAAGGAAAATCATTAAGAAGAATGAAAAAATAATAATAATAAAAAGGAGATTGAAGATATAGAAATAATTTTACAAGATCTTTATTGACTTTGCATGAGTTTTTCCACCAAATGTTGCCATTCCCATCAATTATGCCACCACCTTCAACTACCAAATCCTCAACTTCATCAAATACAAGCCAATGTCTATCATCTTTCTGGTAAGCTGATCGATCTTCCCACGCTTCAATAGTTCCATATATCTAATATTTTTTTCAAATTTTGATTATTATATGAATATATGCTTGATCGATTCTTCCCACGCTTCAAGATAGTTCCATATATTCTAATATTTTTTTCAAATTTTGATTATTATATGAAATATATTATATATATATACTATTATATATATATATATATATATATATAAACCGATCGATAAAAGTCTAATAAAATGATCGAAAATTCTCAAAACTTTTATACAGACGATGTAAAATAGAAAAATTAAATGGGTTTTTTTAAAAAATATTTTTTGGAAAAAAAAAAATGCATTTATAAGTATATATTTATTTTAGGTTACCTGCACTGTTATACTGGATTTGCAAGGACCTGAGAATCTAACTTGCTTCACACTATATTTGTTCTTAGGCACAAGAAGAATAGCTCCTTTAGATGAACAAGCTTCCTTCCAAGCCTTTTCAAAAGCCTATAGAAATATATAATGAGAAATTATAATTCAATGCTAAAAACAAATTGGCAAAAAATTTAAAATTGTATGTAAAAATGGAAAAATACCTGAGTATCGTCAGTTCCATCAGCTTTAGCTCCAAAATCATCAACACTAATTTTGTTAACTGAAGTTGATGTGGATCCAACTTTATCAAATATTTTCAAATTTAGAACATTATCATTTAGCTCCAAAATCATCAACACTAATTTTGTTAACTGAAGTTGATGTGGATCCAACTTTATCAAATATTTTCAAATTTAGAACATTATCAGTTCTTAAATTCCTGAAGTGCTTGGACCAACCGTCATCGATGGAGCTAAAATAGGAAGGATAAGCATAAGGTTGAGAATTATCATAGCCAGATATTTCTTCTTCAAGGTAATCATTGAGAGTGTCTTGCTGAAAACAATTATAACATGGAATAATAATAATTGAAACAAGGAAAATAATGGTGAAGAATGGATAATTAGGGTTTTGAATTCCTTTCAAAGCCATTATGTGATTCTTCTTTTGCAAGGGAAAGAGAGCTTGATGGGATGATTCTAGGTAATATCAGGGTATGGAAGTGAATAAAATGTCATGGTAGTGCTTGTGTATTTATAGATACTAGAGAGAGAGAGATAGAGAGGGAAGGAAATGGTTGGACAGGTGTCCTTATTATGACTCTTGAGGTATGGTATGTGAGATACAAGAGATTGAGACGAAAGGATTTCTTTGAGGGTAGTATTGTTGACTTTAGATTCATACACATATACAATTTGATGAAAGAACTTTTTTTTTGCAAGGAAATATGTTCATCTTTAGTCCATACCTTGTATAACATCACTAGCTATAGCTAGCTAGCTAACCTAAAATTTCAATTTCCACATGCATATATAAAATAATGAGAACCAACCAGGCAGGGGCGGATTTACAACAGGGAAAATTTTTATACATTGCTCCCACTAATTTAATTTTATGGATCCGCCCCTGTAATTTTGTATGTGAGGAGCAGAAGATCTCGAGTTCGAGTCTTCTCGACCATATGAGTTTTCACTAATTTGGTGAGTTAAGAGGATGACTATCCCTAATGTGTAGTCCGCAATGTTATTTCAGTCCATTGGACTTTTCTATAAAAAAAATTAGTAATGAGAATTTTCTTTTCTTTTATTTTTGGTTAAATCTGATTTTTCATTAATCCATGTTACTTTAATAGATCAACTATAAATTTTTGGGTATTGTTGAACTTGATGTTGCTCTTCACTTTATAATTCAAATTAATTTAATTTTAAAGTAGTAAGATATGGAGAGATAATTTCGTTTTTTTAAGCCTTAATTTCAACATAGATAATAAATTTTAATTGATCCACGCACGAGGAACATAGATATGGTCCAAGCAGGTCTAATCCAATTACGACTCTACTGATCATATATATATATAATTAATGTTTCTTGACATGAGAGTTAATTTCAATATTAGAGTTTTGTGCATGATTATTTAAAATTCAAATATAGTAATTAATTATAGAATCAAAATATCATTTGTAACATAATATTTTTAGCTAAATGTTAAACCAATTTTAGTAAGGAAATATATTGGTTTCAACATCTATATAATATCATATCTTATTGATCAGAATTAAAATTATTGATATTCCTTAATCTCTGCTTAAATAACTTTACTTAATTATAATAAAATGGTGAATTTAATGCAAAAATATATAAAAAGAAAAATCTTATGACAGGCCCAATGTTAAAACTCATTGTTTTTCTAAATTAATCTTTTTTTTTTGAAGGGTTTTTCTAAATTTAAATAGTAATTTCTTTTTCTCTCTATTTTATTAATTTACTAAACTTAAACTATGAATCATGTTAATAAGTATACATTTTTTAATTTCAACCTAAATGATTTATTTGAAATCAGATTTTCTTTCAATATGTATTTTTACATTTCCGTGGAGTGATATTCAAGTAAAATCTTCTTAATATTATAGACGTTACATTTGAATTCCGAAGATTGTACTTTTATTGCTTTAACCATCAATTTGTAATTTAAATCAAATTTAAAAAAATAAATTTAATACAATAATCATAAATAATAATTTCACGAGTAAATTTACTTCTCATCGTATTAGCAAGAGTTTGAATTCCAGAGTCAAAAATAAAAGGTTGAGCAACTGCTGCTTGCATGTGCATGATCGCATAATTAACAGAGCCCTACGTACTCAGAATTACACAAGTCATGAAAAATGTGTCTGAGAAGGATGAATTAAAATAAGGATTCAATAAAAATAAAAGGGAAAATAATAAATTGCTTCTTGAATTATAGTTAACACTTTAACACGTTAGGCCTTCCGTTTAAAATAGTATTTTTTTAATTGGTCATTGACCAAGAAATAGTCTTTAAATTATTATTAAATTAATAATAAAATCTCTAACTTATGATTGTTGTTAACACCGTGGTCCTTTCTTTATGATTTCAGTTAACACTTTGATCTCTTTATTTTGACAGAAGGACCAAAATGTTAATAAAATTATAATAAAAATCTTATAATTGATTTTTAAAAATAGAGAGTTGACTATAACTTAGAGACTACTTTATTATTTTTTTTCAAAATAAAATATAGCTTAAAAATATTAAAAAATAAATTAATTATGAAAGCTGGATGAGAATCGAGAGGTGAAATATGAGAATAATAGTTTAATAAAAATAAAATATAAGTTTTTAGAACACCAATAAGTAAAATAATTATGGTGATTAAGTGAAAATCGAGAAGTGAGATATAAGAATTGAAATTTACATTGAAGGAGTTAAAATAAATGGAACGGGGAGAGTATTTAAAAAAAAAAAAAGGTTAAAATAACTTTTAAAAGAATATTCATTTTGTTTTCCTATGAAGACCATTCCAGACATCCATCCAACGGCTCATAGATCACGTAATATTGATAGTTATCCATTATATGCTTAAGACATCACATAAATGATAAAACGGTGCTGGTTCAATGCATGTTAAGGTTTATTGCCCTCTATGGTAATACAGAATATTAAGGATTAATCAGAATTAATTAACTAATTTGAGGTAACTGAAAGTCTTAATTTTAGTTTTACGTGGCCATATTGTAATTTTCATTGATTGATGTAATTAAAAGTTCCCATTCAACTTAAATCAGAAAGAAACGTGACATTAACAATTTTAACTTGATTGATAGTCATACTTCACTTTTAACTATAACAAGGCTTAGTGACAAATAGTTATGTACTTTAACATTTTAAACTCATAAAAGTATTTTCAAAGATGACAACTATTTAAAAAATAACTTTTTTTTTATTTTTTAAGGATGATTTTCATCTTAGAAAATAACTTTTTTTTTATTTTTTAAGGATGATTTTCATCTTAGAATTTTTGAAAATTTTCTTATACAGAAAAAAAAAAATTCTAAGTTCATATATCACTTTACAATATAACCAATTTGAATCCCCTTTTGAATCCCCTCTCCTCCAATGGACTTTACAATATAACCAATTTGAATCCCCTCTCCTCCAATGGAAAAAGAAAAATAATATTAAAAATTTTATAAATTTAATTCAAAGTATCTATTTCATAATCTAAATGAGAAATATATCATTCCCTAAAGAATAGTAAATATTTTAGACTATAATCTTATTTAAATTCTAAAATGAGAAATAAAAACAATTAATTTAATTAATGAAAATTAATAACAGAAAGTAACTAAAGTCATATATATAAATTTACTCCTGAGAGTTGAGATGGGTGACAATGATCCATTTTTTCTTAATCAGAGGTCTCGAATTCGAATTCTGAGTATGGAGTCCTTTTAAACACTCAAACACTTGGGAGGAAGCGCTTTGCCCTATTTATGAGTCTGCCCAGCGCGAATCCAGATTAGTCGGACCAGTGGGCTTCGGACACCGGATGGTTAAAATAAAAAAAATTATATATAAACTTCTTTATTAAATGATGACTAATTTCTTGTAATTATAAAAATGAATTAATTACATTTTTCATGAATATTGCATAAATTAAAAAAAAAAAAAAACTCATCGAGAAGATAAGTTTTAATTGTTAAAAATTACATAAAATTAATTTTTACCATACATGGTTCAGTTCTAATAATAAAACAAAAATATTGTAGTTATTCTTCCTTCAACTTGTAATAAAAGGAAAAAGATGATGAAAGCATGTATACATATGTGGCATTTTATAATTGGTCTATCACCACAGAAAAAAGTTGTGGTGTAATAAGATTGTGGAGTGGGGAATGGGAATAGCTTTGGAGTAAGAGATCCAACATTTGATGACTTAAGTTTCTAAGTTTTATATATATCCATGCCATTATGAAATGCTTGACCTTAAACCCTCACTTCATAATTCAAATACATATAGTTGCACAAATGATCATTAATCTCTCTTATATTATATTCTCTCGCTTTCAAAATATAAGTTTTTAAAGGTTTTTATATAAAAATTAAGGAAGCAATTAATTCTCCAAGACTATAATAAAAATAAAAGTTTTCTTATGGTTTTTATATAAAAATTAAAGAAGCAAGTAATTCTCCAAGATTATAACAAACTCAAGGGTAATTTAACCAAATTATTCTTTATCTCAAACCAATAGTTGCTTATGTATTATTTATTGTATTTAGTGTGAACAAGGGCAATATTGAAAAAACATTATTTATTACTTCTTGAAATATACAAAACGACTTATATTTTAAGACAAAATAACAAATAAAAAATGACTTATATTTTGGGACACAGGGAATGTTGTTTAGATTGAATAATTAAAGGGAAGTTTCTTGTTTTTTAAAAGAAACAAAATAATTATTATAGGTTGACATATAATTAATTATCGATTGGTTCTATCGAAGGATGCAATGTATGTGTATATATAGCTTGTGTTGGCAGCAATTAGGCTCTTGATAATAATATGATGATGAGATATAGAATAAAGATTTGCCGAATGTATAAAATTACCCTTGAACTTTTTTATTTTAACCATTTGTCAACCTAAATTTTGTGGGGACCTACTATGCCCCTTAAGTTGATTTTTTTTTGTAATTTATGAGCCCCTTGCCATTAAGTTGATTTTTTTTTGTAATTTATGAGCCCCTTGCCAAGTGGAATAGTAGTTGTGAATTCAAATATTCAGAGAGGAGCGTGAATGCTTCATTTCATAATCCAACGGGCACGAATGCTTCATTCTAATCCAACGTGGCACAAATGACAGCGCTTTACCGAACATAATTGGAAAAACATAGCTCCCTTCCTATCTCCTTATTGCGCTGCTACTAAATCGAAAAATAAAAAGAACAGCAGTAAAGAAGCTGCTAGGGACGAAGAGAAGGTTAACCCAGCTAGTCCTTGGCTGGCCTTCAAAAAATAAAAGAAAACGAAGGGCAGGAATCACAACTCAACACCACCCCCATTGTTGCGCTAAAACAGGTCGAAAATGAAGAGGAAGAGAAGGCGGTGAGGCGATGGCGGCAGGTTTGGATTGATCAAAAAGTGGAGAGAGAGGAGTTGAAAGTGGCGAGGGAGGAGTAGGTGTT